ATCAAATTTGGTGAATCAAATGACTTTTCATACACCCTTTATAAACAAACATTTTTACTATATTTAGATTTGCTCCAACACGTCTGGTTTTTCTGTGATTTCGACCTTTTTTCATATACAATGCATTGTATACCTAATAATGTAATTTTGTCATATAAAATTACCAGTAACCTGTCATAGACTATTTTTTTGTACAAACTAGTCAGCAGGGTTTACAGGCAGCTTGCAGTTATGTAAACTTTCAGGTATGCCGTTGCAGGTCCACTAACGCCAACCTTTGTATGCAGAACTGTGGTCCACTTTCCTGTACTGTCACTCAGTACCAGAAGGTGCACCACAGATAAGAAGGTTGCTGAAGGACAGTGTATTTGCAGCCAAAATGGTGACAGTGGAGAGGCAAGCCTGGGAAGAATTACGTAAAGTCGTTGATGGATTTCTCGGAAACAAGAAGTCATCTGACTATGAGGTTCACGTCAAGGATATGATATGTCGTTTTCAAGATCTTGGATGTAGAATGAGTGTCAAGATGCATTTCCTAGACTTGCACCTTGATTACTTTCCTGAAAATTTGGGTGAGTATAGTGAGGAGCAAGGTGAGAGATTTCACCAAGATATTAGGGAAATGGAGCGAAGATACCAAGGACTTTGGAATGTAAATATGATGGCTGGTTATTGTTGGAGTATGTACAGACAAAATCCTGATGCTTCATTAAAACAAAATCATACCAGAAACAGTTTCGCAGTGCTAAGTGACCAGCAAAGACACGATTAACTGTTTCTTTAATGTAACATTTGCTATAATTTATGTTGAACTATAATTGTAAATTGTGACAAAACCAGACCTATGGTGGCAAATTGGAAGCCATATTCTGAAACTACATGAAAAACTGTCGAACGTGCACTTGTTTTTGTTAAATCACCTAACAAAAAAATTTGAAAATGACAGGCAGTGTAATCCAAAGTGACAAGTAAATATCTAATACATCTCCACATGCAGTATGAAAAGCAGAATTTCAAGCTGCTATTGATTATAATATTTAGGATGTATGCATTATTTACCTTTGTTCATCCTGTACTGTACACTTATCACAGTATCTCCTTATGTCTCCTGGTATTTTACCATAACAGATTTTTTTTTTGTCAGAAGCCCCCTACTTTGCAGACAGTTAGGCCTACTTAAAGCCATGCTTAACTGTACCAGAGATATCAAACAGATTTATTCTCCTTAGTATTCTCTGCAGTATGCCACACCTTCTCAGTCTTACTCCTCTTTTACAGGGAGAATTTAGAAGTATGTGAATTTAGGGTTCTAAAAGATACAAATGACCTGGTTCTGTAGTTTATATGTAGTACCCTTTGTTGAAATCTCGGACTTGTGAAACATTAGACACAGAAGTCAGTATTTTGAGCAACCTCATGATGCTAATTATGGTATAATTTATCAACACAGAATCATATTTTTTTTCAGTTGGTTAATACCATCACATTGTGAGTTATGCTGAGTGAATATAGAGCCAGCTAACATTCTGGATGGATGGATGGATGGATAGTGTCACGCCCGGCTCGTCCGATCCTCGTGTGTGCTACGCCCCCTCTCGTTACCTCATGTTAATTCCTGATTGTCTTCACCTGTTGCTTGTTGTTTTCTGCCTACCCTGTGTATTTAGTCTGCGTCTGAGTCAGTATTCCCCAGTCCGGTCATTAACGTTGTAACGTTGTATTGTTGTAGTGTCGAGTAGTGCTGTGTTTTCCCCTGGTATGCCCTTGCGTCTTCCCATTAAACCCTTTTGTTTAACCCCGTTCCTGCCTTTGTTCGCCTGCATCCCTGGTCTGTGTTCCACGCATTATGACAGATAGATAGGCAGGCAGACAGACAGACAGACAAAGTTTATTAATCTCCCGGGAAGGTTCCTCCGGGAAATTCAGTTTCTAGCAGCAACAATACACCGGCCTAATAGTAGTCACACATAGCAGTACGGCAGTATATTACTAAAAATCTAAGATAAAAAATAGGAAAGTAACAAATAGTGGTGGGATGACAGTAATATAAATAATTGTTGCACAGGTTAATTCCACAGTCATGTGGTCTATTGTGAAGTCAATAAAATGTCCTTCGGCCTCCCCTCCTGCCCCCCAATGAGGAGTTGAACAGTTTGATGGCGTGCAGGACAAAGGAATTTTTAAGTCTGTTAGTTCTGGAAGATACTAACCATTCTATTGGTGTGAGCTGCTAGGCCATGCACGAGCATGATGGTGCAAGTCACCTGGCTCTGTGTGAGCGTGATGGTGCGAGCCGCCTGGCCGTCCATGAGAGTCATGTTGCAAGTGAGCCACTGGGCTGTGCGTGAGGTGTGAGCGTGATGGTGCAAGCGAGCCACCGAGCCGTGTGTGAGCATGATGGTGCGAGCCGCCGGGCTATGTGTACATGTAATGTGAATATACACACTGGCCTAAAACGCTGTGCCATTTTTGCAGTATGGTGACCTCATTCTTCTAGACCTGATGGTTCAAATTTCACCTCAGCTCGTTATCTAGTACTTTCATCCTACTGCACTGTTTTTCTGTAGATTAATGAACAGAAATTTAAGGAATTTAAAAAGAAAATGGAACCAGTTTCTGAAAGCTATTTTTAAGTCTGTCCCCGTCCATTGCTTTAGTATCCTAATCTGATCCTTTCAGTGTGTGTATCTGCTGATTCCAAGTCCCAGTCTGATCTTCCATCCATTTTTTTTAATTGCTTATCCTATTCAGGGTTGTGGGGGGTCTGGAGCCTATTCCGGAGGCTGCTGGCGCAAGGTGGGGAACAACCCAGGGCACCAACTAGGCACCAACCCATCGCAGGGCATAGTCACACATCATTCACTCACACATGCATATGCACTATAGAACCAGGTCATTTATGGGCAACCAGGTCCTAGAGATGTGGATGTGAGGCAACAGTGCTAACCAATGCACTGCCCTGTTCTGCTGTCCATCTGATCTTGTCTTGTAATATTTAAATATACATACACATACAGTGGAC